GCCTGACTCTGTGCGACCCCATGGACTGTAGCCCACCAGGCTCCTCTGTCCATGGGGCTTTCCAGGCAAGAATACTGGAGTGGGTTGCCATTTCTTCCTCCAGGGGATCTTCCTGACCCAGGGGTCTAACCCACATCTCTTGTATCTCCTTCATTGACCAGGATGGAGAAGTAAAGTGCAGCATTTATTGCAGGCGCCAATAAAGGAGTCCAGGCAGCTAGTGCTTAAAACTCCTCAAAGCGTCTCAGAGAAAGGTTTTTAAAGACAGGGTGAGGAAGGAGATTGTAGGGTGTGTCATCAACTCAGTGCACACCCTTGGCTGGTGGTGAGGTAATCAGAAGTCAGTATCATTGACCATCTGGTTCCGACTGGTCTGAGGTCTACGTGTTGGTGTGCAGCATGCAATTAACTTTTCCCAGATGGTGGGGGTTTCAGTATCTGCAAAACAGATCAAAGAACGTGGCTGAGGACATTATCCATAGCCCTTGAGGAGGAACTATAGGTCCTTGACTTTGCTTAATGTCTAAACTATTGTTATTTTGTCTTGCTTGGGTGTGTTCCTTTCTTTCTGCATGTTCTCAATTCTCTGATCAAATTTATTCTTTGACTAAAATTTTTCTACAGACAAAGGCAGATGGAGGATATGGCGTGGGGGGAGTCCTATTCTGGAGAGGCCCCATAGGGTCCTTCTTGGTTACATTTCCAAGGGTTGGTATGAGCCTTGGTTAATATCTTGATTAATATCAATGGCTTGGTATGAGTGGGTGAATTAATATCTGTAATGTGTCTAACATCTAGTAAACATTATGTTAGTACAAAATAAAATAAATGCATCTGGAAGGAAGCCCAGTAAGTTCAAGAACCATCACAAACCATTTATTGGGCCAGGTGATGACATATATTACTTCATAGAATCCTTGCAAAATTCCTTTGAGCTAAAACTGACAGCTATGATTTTTCATGCATAGTGACTGACTCACAAAAGCCACATACTATGCCTTATTCAAGCAACTAAGTCCCCAGCGTACCAAACACAGCACTTATGCAAACAACTAGTTTTATAAGAAGCCAATTAAATAGTACTTCCCCAATCATTCCTGCACCATGTTAAGTTTATCAATAATTCCTCAGTCAACCAGAATAATTGTATAAAGCTGATTCTCTGAATGATGAATAGGTTTGATAATAACTTCTAAGAATCATCCTGAAATCCATTGAGGAACTGAGTCCTTCTCTAGGAACTAGCCTTGTGTCTCATGCGCGTGCGTGTTCAGTCGCGTCTGACTCTTTGTGGCCCCCTGGACTGTAGCCTGCCGGGCTCCTCTGTCCATGGAATTTTCCAGGCAAGAACAGGAGTGGGTTGTCACTTCCTCCTCTAGGATCTTCTCCACCCAAGGATTGAACCCATGTCTCCTGCATTTCAAAGGATGCTTTAATGAAATGGGAAAGGAATGCCAGAGTTGAATGGCAGCACCAGCACCTTGAAGATGCTTTCAAAGATGCAGGCTCATGGTTTTAATTCTCATCACATCTACTGCAGTCCAACTTTGCCTGGAATCTAGGCATTGCTGACGAACACATCGTCTTCCCATCCAGTTTCTGGCATCCTCTCTTACCATACTTCCCTCCTCTGACACAGTACTGATCATTTGCAGATCAGCTCTCTCTCTCTCTGTCCTCTGGGTGTTTTACCTTCATCAGAATTAAACTTGCCTTTTCAGACTTCCTGCTGACAGCCGAGCCAGCCCTGGCATCCACTCTGTTTACCCTGAGTTTTTAGATATGCATGGCTTTTCACTCCCAGAGCCAAAGCACCAGTGATTAGAGCTGAGCTTAATTAGACCAGATCTCTATCAGCATCTCCTCCCATATGCTTGGTGCTCAGGTACCTGCAGGCCCCTCACTTCCTCTAGCAACTCTCATGGAAGATAAATTACTTTCTTTTTTTCTTTCCCCTGCAAGACACTTGTTTTGGATGAGAGAGACTTTGTGGAGTAGTGAGAATGTTACTGAAAGTGGGGTTCGATTGCTCACTGCTCTGAAGCCAATACTTGAGAGACAAAGTTGGTGAAAAGGAAAGTCTGCTTTATATTGGAGGCTGGCAGCCAGGGGAGAGGGCAATGTCCAAAGGTGGATGATCCCCCCAACAACAATTGGTGGGCAAGAACCTTTAAAGGGGAATGTCAGGGGTGTATGGGTGGAGGAAGGGGGTTACAAGCAGAAACAGCACAGTCAGCTCTGATAGTCATCTTGAAAGGGGTCAGCTTTTCCTATCATTGTGAAGCTGAATTCACCAAGCATTGGATTGTTCACGCTGCAATGGGCTGATCAACATTCTCTTGATTATTTTGAGTACAATCAATCTTCAGTTCCAGGGTCGATTGGTTCCCATTTCTTTGAGGCCAGTTCTTGGAACCGTGGCAGCCTATGTCATGGCTACAGTCTGGTCATCGTGCAGTTAACTTCTTCCACCTGGTGTGGGTTTCACAGCATCTATAAGACAGCTCAAAGGATATGGCTCAGAATATTATCTACAGCCCAAGAGGAGGAACTAAAGGTCCTTGACTTTGCTTAATGACTAAACTATTATTATGTTTGTCCTATTTGACTATTCACCTTTGCTTCTGCATTTTCTCACTTCTCTAATTAAACTTATTCTTGGGCTAAAGTTTCTCTACAGACAAAAGGTAGACAAAGAACATGATGGGAAGGACCAGAGGGTCCTGCTCCATTTCAAAAAGAGGCTGGGATACACATTTAGACAGATTTAAACCCTGTAATATACAGCATCTAAGCTTGGTCAAGTTGCTTGACTTCTCCGAGCTTCCAATTCCTCATCAATAAAGTGAGAAGAAAATACTAACTAGGTTATCATAAGACCCTCTGATGAAGGGGTTAAGTTAAAATATGCCTGGTATTAGAGCCTGAAATGCAATCAGGCCTCACAAATAAATTCCTATTTGTCAAAAGTGCATACCTACTGTGCTCCAGGCATGGGGTTACACTGAGATGACAGTGGTGAATATGGTCCCTGTCATCAAAGGCTTTGTCTCCCAGAGCGCTCCCTAAGAATAACTATTGGAGACTGTTCACACATCACTATGTATCCCTGGGGTGAGAAACTAATTTTAAAGATGGTCCCTGGGGCTTCCCTGGTGGCTCAGTGGTAAAGAATCCACCTGCCAATGCAGGAGATGTGGGTTCAATCCCTGATCCAGGAAGATCCCACATGCTAGGGAGCAACTAAGCCCATGCAGGTTAGTCGCTCAGTGGTGTCCGACTCTTTGCGACTCCATGGACTGTTGCTGTCAGCATCCTCTGCCCATGGGATTCTCCAGGCCAGAATACTGGAGTGGGTAGCCATTCCCTTCTCCAGGGCATCTTCCCGACCCAGGATTCCAACCTAGGCCTCCTGCACTGCAGGCAGATTCTTTACCTTCTGAGCCACCAGGGAAGCCCCAACTAATGCCATGCACCACAGCTATTAAGCCTGAGCTCCAGGGCCTGGGAGCCACAACTGCTGAAGCCGGCACACCCTAGAGTCCATGCTTCACAAGAGAAGCCACCCCGATGGGAAGCCGCACGCTGCAACTAGAGAGTAGCCCCCACTTGCCACAACTAGGGAAAAGTTTGCACAGCAACAAAGATCCAACATAGTCATAAATAAAAAATAAAGATAGTCCCCAAATCTCCCAGTTTCTCAGCCAATCTTGCCATGTTCTGAAGTCCCTCCTCTCTTGGGTACCACATTTCCCAAGATGCATTGGCATATTTCTATTGCAAAGAAAGACTAACTCGAGCTAAACATTTCCTTACTCTCTGACTCAGCCATCCCAAATCACACATACTTTGAAATTGATGCACAGCCTTCAGTCTTGATATTCAGGTGTATCTTCCCTCTCCCAAGCCATCCATTCAGACTCAGGAATGAGGTTTCTGGCTCTTCCTGGACAATCTGTACTGGACATCACACTCCTCACCCCTTCCCCCAGGTATCTAATGTGAAGATCTCAACAAATCTGGAGAAATTGGATTTTCTCTCCTGGGAATTTGGAATTGGAACTTGAACTAAGACAGAACTCTGGAGGTCATACTCAGGAAAGTAGCAAAAAACTTTTTTTTTCCTCCTGCAGAGAGAGAAAAATTGATCGGATACACAGAATCACAGAAAAGAGACTGGTGAGTTTTGCTGGTTCTTGATTCTTGCTAAAAGCCTCTGATTATCTTTCAATCATCCTGCCTCCCATCACCTTTTGTTTTCTTATTCTAGTTCCAGTGGGATTGTACTAGCAGCTAAGATGATTCCTACGAAGCCCTGAGCCCTGCAAATAACTGAAGTATTCCGCTAGGAGCCCCTCTTCAGCCATATCACTGCATAGTCCCTCCACAGTCACCTATTCATCCAACAAACACTTGTCTAATGCTTTCTGTCAGCCTGTCTTGAATCAGGCTGGAGAAGAAGGGAATGACAGACGATGAGATGGTTGGATGGCATCACTAACTCAATGGACATGAGTCTGAGCAAGCTCTGGGAGATGGTGAAGGACAGGGAAGCCTGGAGTGCTGCAGTCCATGGGGCTGCAGAGTCGGACACGACTAACTGAACAACAACAACAATGCGGAGATGAATAACACCCATTATCAGATCTGAAGTCACCCTCACCGGGGACACGGGGTGAGAGCAAGCTTAAGTATCTGGGATCATGAGACTGCATATAAAGTAGAAGACAATTCTAATCTACAGCTTGGTTGTGTGTGTGCGTGTGTGCATGCTAAGTCACTCAGTCATGTCCAACTCTGCGACCCCATGGACTATAGCCTGCCAGACTCCTCTGTCCATGGGATTCTTCAGGCAAGAATACTGGGAATGGGTTGCTGTGCCCTTCTCCAGGGGATCTTCCTGACACAGGGATCGAGCCCATGCCTCTTATGCCTCCTGCATTGAAAGGTGTATTCTTTACCACTAGCGCCACCTGGGAAGCCCAAAACCAATCTTGGTGTGACCCAGATGGGACTCGAACTCACAATCCCCAGCTCCAGAGACTGACGCCTTATCCATTAGGCCACTGGGTCACCACTCCTAGCTTCGGGAAATTACTTTTCCTCTCTAAGCCTCAGTTTTCCCATCTTTAAAATGGGTGTTGAAAGTATGGATTGTTGAGAAAATTCAACAGAAGAACCCATGCTCAGAACAGCATCTGATACACTTAAGAAGCGTCAGCTTGGGGGAGGGAGGAAAACCTTTAGGCTCTTTGGTTCTATCTCTTAAAAGAAGGGTGCCTTGGTATCCTTGTTACAAATAAATAGGATGATTGATTTTTTTCTGACCAACATTTATCACGTCTTAGACACTGTCACCACAGGAAGAAAACTGAGAATGATAACTGCAAGTTGACCAAGCACAACTGCGTGGGAAACAGCATTGTGTCTCAGGATTGAACACTGGTAATGAGAGGTGGCCAGGGCTCAGTTAGAAGGATGTCATGCCAAATCTCATTCTCAAGCCTGCACGCAGTTTCAGGAGGAGAAATATTGGTCCAGTCACAGCCTGACCATAATCAAAGTGTCCATGTAAGGAGGAAAAAGTAAGTGATGTAACCTAGTGAAGTACTGGGAGTTTCAAAGATGGCCAAAACCTCCACTGCAAAGAGTTGACAAGAAACACTGCCTGAACCAAAGGTGGAAGGTTCTGGGCTCTAAAATGAGACCTCAGAGAACTGCTGGATACACCAGGGGACAGCTGGCCTGGATGGGCAAAAAAAAAAAAAAAGAAAATCCTGAACCCCAGTGCTGAAGCTGAGAAGCATCAGGAGAATCCATCCGGAGGCTGTGACAGCTGGCCTGGATGGGCAAAAAAAAAAAAAAAAGAAAATCCTGAACCCCAGTGCTGAAGCTGAGAAGCATCAGGAGAATCCATCCGGAGGCTGAGGAAGTCTGCGGAGGGACAGAGAAGAGCTGTGAAAATTCCTGCTGAGTTTCCTGCAGCCAGGAATACACACGACAACCTGCTAGAGTTTGTTAGCATGGCCCTTGGGGTAAAATTCAGAGAAATGAAATAGCTTTATTCACTACCATGTTAGTGATCATTCAGGATGGGGTGGTTTGTGAATGAACCAGGTTGCCTCCTTGGGAAACTTTTGAAATCATAATAAATACTCTGGTTTTGCTTACTCTGGGCATTTGTTGAGGTCACATTATTTCCCAGGATGTAGAGATGAGGCATGGGGTTTCCTGGGGGTCAGATGGTAAAGAATACACCTGCAATGCAGGAGACCCGGGTTTGATCCCTTGGTTGGGAAGATCCCTGGACAAGGGAAAGGTTACCCACTCCAGTATTCTTGGCTGGGAAATCCCACGGACGGAGGAGCTTGAGTCCAACACTGAGCATGCACACGAGTAGTATTACTGACCCCATCTGACAGATAAGGAATTTGGGTTCAGAGAGGTTAAGTGACTAATTCAAGATCACACAGTATGAATCTAATTTGGAAAACCCAATCTCCTTGCTTTCAAAACTCCCCTTCCAGTTGGGGTATCAAATGGCTGTTGAGCAGTTTTCTTCAGAATTTTCAGTTATAACCTCCTCCTTCTTCTCTCTCTCTCTTTTTTTCCTTTTTTGGTTTCTATTCTGGTTGAACAACCATATGACAAATTGCATATCTAATTAGGGCCGGTGAGATAAAGAGGTACATGGTGATCTTTGCAGGCAGCGTCTGAGGTTAGGCCTTGCGAATATGATGAAACACCATCACTAATCAAGTTGACGAGGTCAGCCACACTCCTCCCCTTCATTCTTTTCATTCTTATTAGGATAATTTTACACTTCCTGTGCTCGGCAATTGAACAATGATTACTTTGCTAAATACTACATGAGTTTTGACAAAACAAACCCCTGAGGAATCAAAATAAGTAATTTCTATTCAGCAGAAATCATTCTCCGATTAGTCTGTGTGCCATATTATACAACCCAATTATCTCAATATGCAGACATGTATAATCAGTGAAGAACACACCAATGCCAGCATCTCACGTGAGCCGGGGTTAGGCAGGCGGTTGGGTGGCAGCGTTTCCAGGTAGGACCTATTGATTTTTAGCCTGGGACCTCCAAGAAATGGGTTATCAGGAGCACTCACATCTCCTTCCTAGCAATGCTGAAATATTTTTTGGGGTGACTTTCCAGCTCCATACGTGTCACAGAGAGGTGTTTGGTTAATTGTTTAATGTTTAGATTCAGAACCCTTTCACTGGTCCTTTTGTTTGTGTTCAGTATGGTTCTGGGGATCTGAGAGGCACACAATCCCTGCCCCCTGGGGTTGTGTTGGATTTCACACATGTCAGTCTGGGGCATGTAGTTCGAGGCCTGGTTTACAGTCATGGATGTCCTAATTAACCCCATCTTCTCTCCCTCTTGTGGGGCTTCTCTGGTGGCCCAGGGGTAAAGAACCCACCTGCCAATGCAGGAGACGTGGGTTCCATTCCTGGAATAGAAAGATCCCCTGAAGAAGGGAACAGCAGTGCACTCCAGCATTCTTGCCTGGAAAATCCCATGGACAGGGGAGCCTGGTGGGCTACAATCCATGGGGTCGCAAACAGCTGGACATGACTTAGCAACTAAACAACATCTCTCCTTCCTGCAGGTCCTGATTGATGCTTCAACACACCATCTTCATTCATTCATTCATTCATTCACTACACAGTCTTTGTTTTTAGACCTGCTGTGCAGCATGTGGAATCTTAGCTCCCCAATCAGGGATCGAACCCATGCCCCCTGCAGTGGAAGTGCAGAGTATTAACCACTGGACTACCAGGGAAGCTGATGTTGAAGCTGAAACTCCAATACTTTGGCCACCTGAAGCAAAGAACCAACTCACTGGAAAAGATCCTGATGCTGGGAAAGACTGAGGGCAGGAGGAGAAGGGGACGACAGAGGATGAGATGGTTGGATGGCATCACCGACTCAATGAGCATGAGTTTGAGTAAACTCCAGGAGTTGGTGATGGACAGGGAGGCCTGGCATGCTTCAGTCCATGGGGTTGCAAAGAGTTGGACACAACTGAGCGACTGAACTGAACTGAAGCAGGAAAGTCCCTGCAGTCTTTTCTGAGCCCTTCACGTGCCCATCCTAGAGGCAGACACGAGGGACACAGTGGTGAGCGGAGGCCACTCCCAGGCCAGCCTTTGTGGGGCCTCCAGGCTGTCAAGAGAGGTGTTGAATAATTGCATGAACACATGTATACCTACCATTGTGTCAGGTACCAAGAAGAAGGATACTCAATAGGGTGGGGACCTGTAGGAAGCAGATATGCCCCAGCCAGAAAGATCAGGGAAGCCTTTTCATGAGACTTGTATGTGTGCGTGCGAGTGTACTCAGTCCTGTCTGACTTTTTGTGACCCCCTTGACTGTAACCCACCAGGCTCCTCTGTCCATGGAATTTCCCAGGCAAGAATACTGGAGTGGGTTGCCATTTCTTCCTCCAGGGGATCTTCCCAAACCAAGGATAGAAACCGCATCTCCTGCATTGCAGGAGGACTCTTTACCTCTTGAGCCATCAGGGAATCACCAGACAGCATCTCCTAAAGCAAGAGTCCCAGAGAGCAGGGAGAGGTTAACGGGGTCACCAAGGGTAGAAGAAGCTTCACATCAGTTATTTTCACCATGCTATAAGGGAAGAGATGCAGAAATTAAAGCTTGGAGATTTCAGGTCATTTGTCCAAGATCACACAGCATGTAACAAGGAAGCTAATATCCAACCTCAGGTCTGGAGACAGCAAAGGGTCAGTTTCAGGTTGTGGGCTCTTTCTGATGGATATTGCTTTCTCTTTGGGGTCCCTTCGATAGCTGTCATTTGATGTTCAAGGTAAAAAACAAACAAACAAACAAACAGAAGGAAGAAAGTAATCAAGTCTTCACAGATGGTTCCTTAGACTTAACCCAGGCTTGCACATGCCAGCATTACCTTTCGAGTACATACCCAGGAGTAGAAATAACAAGTCACCAAGTAATTTGTGCACTGAGGGGGATTTATCCAGTGATGTCTGTGCCAACATAGGAGCAAGCACAGAGTGCTCCATGAAAAAAAAATTGTCCAATAAATGTGGGGGAAACGGAGCAGTATACAGTCTTTCCAAAGTGCCTAAGAGATCCCTGACCTTCCAAAGGCCTTGGCTTTGAGTGTGCTTCTGAGTTTCGCCAGTTCTATTTTCTAAATAAAGGCTAAGGCCAAGTTTGAGCCCCTGGGTTATTTATTAGGCAAAGCAAGGCATTCAAGGTTCCAGTCAGTGAACAAAAAGACTGCAGTGAGGAGCTGTTCCTGATTAGATGTGCTCAAAGGAAGCCTTGTAAAACAGGAGCTTGGCGCTGTAATTGAACAAGTGGCTCCAAGCAGAGCCAAGACATTAGCAGTGAAGGAGAAAGGGCATTAGCACAGCCAACATTATCTTTGCAGAAAAAGGCTCTGAGATCCCACCTGCATTTATTTCACTTGTTTATTTATTTAGCCCTATCTCAACCCCACAAAAATCTGAGTCCCTTAGAGCAATAACACAGACAAATGAAAATTTTTTAAAATCAGAGTAAATATCACAGAAGGAGCAGGAAAGCAGGAAATAGTCAAGGACAGAGTTATACACAAGATGTCCAGCAGAAATTCTGTGCACTTGTTAGAAGTGGGGTTTTTGTTGGACTTTGAGCTTCCTGGCAGCCAAAGCAAAAATGGAAAGTTTTCAGGAAATGAAAATGTGGCTGCTTGGGTGAGGTGCACATTTCCCTGATTACTGAATCCTGAGAGCAGCTTGGCCTGATGGGAACTCTGTTTTAGGACCTCAGCCACATTCCACAATAAATACATAAACTGGTTTAATTCTAGCTTTCACATCTTATGGTGAGGCTTCTGTCAAATACAAATTCAGCACAAGCAGTGTGTGTGTGCTCATTCACTCAGTCCAATCCCTTGGGACTGTAGCCTTCTGTCCATGGAATTTTCCAGACAAGAATACTGGTGTGGTTAGCCATTCACTTCTCCATGGGATCTTCCCAGCCCAGGGACTGAACGCTTGCCTCTTGTGTCTCCTGT